GAGCAAGACACAGACAAAACATGGAACAGAGTCTGACAGCATGTTTCCACTACATTTCGTAAAGTAACCATCATTCTACCCTATATTTTTGGTTTTGCTATCTGCAATCACATTTGCTACCCCATACCGCACTATTTTGTGGTTCTTCTCCGAGAGTATCTGTCAGACAGTCAATACTGCATGTGGCTTATAATAGTTAGATTTTGGCAAAGATCCTTTTGTGGCACAACAGTCTCTCATGGTTTATGTAAAAGATGTTAAAGTGTTCTCTCACTGTGGCTGCCATCCCAGCAGGCGCAGTAATACATCCCAGCGTGTTCCTCCTTTGTTTCTTTGAGTTTTATGCCATATGAATTTCCATTTTTTTCAGAGACAATGTCTTTTGCTTCATTTGTAGCAATCCCAGAATGGCTTATGTACAGCAGTCTTTTAAAAGTTTCACCATCTTTTTTATGGTACCAGTGGACATAATTACTAGAGCCCAAGTCTTTTACCTCACATTTAAAGGACACAGATTTACCTTTTTGCTTCACCAAGACCTTTTGAGGTTGTTTTAAGCTTAAACTTCCCACACCTATGATGAAATAAATAAAAAAAAATCAGTTCATTCAAGTATCAAGTATTCATGGTTATTTTATTAATGTATTAACCTATTTTAATCTATTTAACCGCCTTTAAAGTTTACTTACCGTGTAAACTTTACTTACCATGGATCATTATGAGAACAACAGTGCACAAGTTTATGAGCATCGTTCGTTTGGTTATGTGAGATGATATATGGCTCATAAAGTTTCCTGTACACTTCTTAACAACATTTTGCAAAAATCATTACAGAATTTTTTCAGTTACACCTTGCTGATGTCATTTCCTGAGTTGGAGCTCTAATAAATGTCAATGCGCTTTCCAAGTGATGCAATTTGCACAGCACTTTGGATGAAGTATTTAAAAAAACTATACTTTTATACCACACCTGACTGATATTGAATATCTCATCTGGATACTCTTCAATTTATTAGAAGTAATTTAGTAACTTGCATATAGCCTTAAAGGGGTCATATGATGTTGCTAAAAAGAACATTATTTTGGGTATTTGGTGTAATGAAATGTGTTTATGCAGTTTAAGGTTAAAAAAACACATTATTTTCCACATACTGTACATTATTGTTTCTCCTCTATGCCCCGCCTTTCTGAAACGCGTCGATTTTTACAAAGCTCATCGTTCTAAAAAAGCGAGGTGTGCTGTGATTGGCCTGCTATCCAGTGTGTTGTGATTGGCCGAATACCTCAAGCGTGTGACGGAAATGTTACGCCCCTTACCATATTGTGATGATGCCCTGTCAGGCCAGAGCGATGATTCAAAAACATGAAAACACATTATAAACGAGGCATTCGTTGCATCCAGGGGTGACATAATTCTGGATTATAATGAGTTGTACTGTCTTTTTATGCGTTGCGTTGCTTCGTAAACATAAAACCATGTCTGCATTTGTGATCGGAGAAATGACAAACAAGCCCTACTCTACACTGCCCAAAAAAACTCGCTTTAAATATATAAAATATAAAAACTCTTTAAATATAAAAAAC